GTACATGGGATCTGCCACAACGGTAATCTGCCATTATGTCCATGCAAAGATTATAAATTTTCATAACATTTGGAAATTGCTCATAATTAGTAAAAAGTAAAATTGCAGGCCATTGAACCTTTGCATCTGCTCTTTAGAATCAGAGACGTTTAAAAGAGCAACCGATGAAAACCACCTTCGGGAGCAATGCCTGTTTCGAGCAATCGCCAACAAGTACATGGATGAAACGGAGAACACTGGCCTACACAAACGGAAGCAGAAACCGGCCGGCATCGTCGACGAATGCTGCATTCGATCTTGTACATACTCATACATGCGAAAGTTCTGCTGCAATTCCGAAGCCGCTGCGACAGAATAGACTGACGGTGCATATGAAGCTGGATTTCACGCGTTGCTCTGTACGAATAACAGTGATACTGTGATGAATATCATTTTATTGGCTGTTGTACGGAGAACCATTAAACACAAAATTTACATCTCATCCTGGAAGTCCATCCATTCAGACTTGAACGGAAGAAATAAGCAAACGCCAAAACAGTAATGCATAAAAAACATAAATATGATTCGTACCCTGAAAATCTAAAAGGGGTATAAAATTTGAGTTTTGAATGAGCATGCAGACTGCAAGTGTTCATTATCAATGTGATTTACGATGTGAAAAATGTGGATGAGAAAGACGGTAAGAGTGACCGTAAAGTGGATGAAGAACGGGTGGAAGAGGTACAAGAAAGAAAAGTTGCAAGAGATGAACTTATAGAGTTTATTCAATTGTGAATCACAGAGTCTTGAGGCAAATTTTGCTTGTTTAAATCACGTGAACTTTATCGCCATCGCTACCAAGGTGTTTCGCACGTCTTCTAACTCATTAAACCGAACCAACATGCACACGTCCACCGTCCTCACACTCACAAGGATCGCGCATTTTATCTTGCTTAAAACTTTTCATTCGTCTCCTTTAAAAGGCTGATGAAGAAAGGGTGTGGATGACCTCATCCACCAGTTCAGTCGACTCTGCGTTGAACTCATCAATGTCGAACACTTTCTCATAGAAGACGAAGGATTCCCTTGGCGATCGTGGAGCTGATTTTGAGTAAGTAGTTATCCGTTTTAAGGTAGCTCCTCTGGAATGCTACTTGTTCTCGAGTTTGTTAATGATGATCAGAGTGAACTGCTTGTTTCCTACACACTTGCCGTGCGATAGTTGCTCGCCGTACAGCTGAACGTCGCCTGTGAAGTGACAAACAGCTCTCTGTCACGTACGCCAGCTTTCGTAATGTTGCTTTCGAGAAATGGACCGTTTGTTGACGTTTGTTTTCCATCTTTTATTACGAAATAGAGGGATAAGGCTCATAGTAGATTTATGAAAAAAAGCACTTATTTTGCAATTTGTTCGATATAATATTGCACAAGTATGCTCTGTACGACATAACGTAAAAAATCTGTATCATACAACACGTGATGTTGCTCGATGAGTAATCAAACCTCAGAGCAAAGCCTCTAAAATAATTGAGATGCAGCAGCATATCGACGTTAGCTTTCTTCGATTCTTCGAATTATCTAGTAGACTAAGATTCAACTACCCTGACAGTACGCTAAGTTTAATCATCTTTGGTGGCGGTTGAGATCAGCCAGCGATGAACTGCTTCATCTTCATTTCGTTGAGGCTCTGATCCTTTTGCGGACGAACGATCAGCTTCTATATTGAGGGAATATGTAAATCAATAACTTGTGAAAATTCTTAATGTCAACCCTCTACGGCATTAGTAGGTTTTGACAGGACTTCGTTCATGATACCGAGGTATTTTCAAATCGCTACAACGAAGAGTGGTTGTTTTAGTACTGACGTTGATCCGGGTGGCGAATAAACGCATCGTCACACGATTGCCCTTCGACGTGATAAACGTTTATTTCGGAGACGACCTCAAATGCTTGGTGTACCTCAAATACTACTACTACAAGCAGTAATGCCGTGAGCAGCAGGTGTTTCAAGACAAAGGTAGCATACGTTGAGTACTTTTGCTGGACACGGTTCGTCTGAATATTACGGTAGTTGCATGGCCAAAGTGAAGAAAGCATCCGCTGTGCAAGACAATTGGAAGGCTTCCTTGAGAAGCGTCAACACTCGAAACATATACTACAGGGTGTCCAGCATTCACAAATTTCTCGCCTACGTTTGTCGGGCAGCAAAGCAAATTATGATCATATACCGTTGGTATACTGTTGGCATACTCTGTCCAAGGATGGTGAGCAGATATTGATGGATATCTTTAAATATCTCAAAGATATTCCAGTTGAATGATTGCCACAGTAGTAGAAAGTTATTCCTAGTAAAAAAGTTGGCAGAGATCGTCTCTGGATCCGCTGTCGTGCACAAGAAAATCCTCTCTACCAAACGTTTGTTTGCTTGTACCACTCTAGCAGTACCGAATGCCTAAGGTCTGGTCAAATTCGACGGCCAACGCGTGACTGTGCCTTCTGACTGTTGACATCATGTTGAGTTCAGATGGCGAGTTTGCTGCAGTCTCACAGAAGTCAAAGAGGTCTAACACCTTATGGTGCGTTCCTTGACTTATTCAATAACGCTCATTACATCTGTTCTGGCGGCATCAGCAGCATGGTTATGATCTCGATAAAAAAATTACGCGTTCTTCCGATATGTGCATTCTGGCGCGACATTTGTTCTTCCGGCTGAGTTCACACCTCCACATAAGTCTGCTTCTGGTGTGTGTGAACAAGTTGCTTAGATGGACTAACTTCGGTTCGCCCTTCGTGCTTTCAACTAACTGCACGGACATTTCTTGACAGCGCTCCATTCGGGATACTGCAGTTACCATGGCAATTGCGTTTCCAATCAACCATCGAACCCTTGGCACGTGACACGGACAGCAGTTGTGCGGACGATCAGTT